TTAGAAACATGCATGAACGTCACCGGCGATAAAATATTCTGGGTTTTCAAAACAATTTACCGTTTCACCAGTTCCGGAAAAAAATATAAACCGTTTGTGTTTTGTTCTCGATTGTTAGATCTGAGTTTTCCAATGCAAACATGTCTGTGTTTTGTTTGTGTTTATAAAGAAAGATTAGTATTTTATTTTTTTTTTTTATTTTTTTTATTATTATTATTAAGATGATATGTAGACAGTAAAATAAATAGACAATCATCTTTGATATCTGTATTCCACGTTTTTAAAATTAAAATGTGGGTACGCGACGAATAAAAAAAAGTAAGACCCGTCTCGTCCCATCGACGTTTGATAGCACCTGGCCTTGCCGCACTGTTACCGTATAGAGACGGACCGTTACACTTGTCCCTGGCGGCGAGTTATCGGGTATCAGGACGGCAGGTCCGCGGCCCCAGTTACGGTGAAAACCGTAATAATCGTGTTGCGGACGGTAATGCTGTCGTTACGGGCAACGTATAAAACGTAACCGCGGCCGTACACGTTGTGTACCGTGATCGTGAACGGTTTGTTAGCCGGCGGCCATTTCCCGTGACCGCGTCGACACGACGGGCAAGTGTTTGCCGGACGCTCGAGCCAACAGCGACTCCGCCGTCCGCGATGATGGATATTCAAACGCGTTGTCCCGTACGTACGTCTGGATAATATTATGATTGCTACGCACCCGGTCAACGGTCGTGCGGAGCGTTACGTGCGCGTGCGTAAAATGTATATCAAACGTGTGCGTACACGTGTAGTGCCGTCCGGCGAACAATTAAGCTAAGATCGCCGCGCGCGGCTCGTTATAAAAATACACGTATACCATCGTAACGACCTCGTGGCAATGATAATCAATTATATGTGAAAGAGGAAAAAAAAAAAAAGAAGAACGTGTACAAAAAAAAAAAAAAAAAAGGTAATACTTAACCGACGGGAATGTTACTAAAGTCACGCCTTTGCTATTACGCGCGCCCGTGCAACGCCGTATTCGACCGCGGCCCGTAAGGGGCGAACAAACGCCGACTCGATCCGAACCACATAATATCGTCGTGCGCACGCACGCGCGTGCCCAGTCACGGAAACGACGCGACGTGTGCGAACACCGCACGAACCGAATATTTATGTAACGTTCCGTCGTCCACCTCAAAGGTGTTTCAAAAGTTCACTGAACCGCCGCGTCTGCGACGCAGCACTTGTCTGGTCAAATACAATCAACCTGGTGGACCGGAACCGGACTTGGGTTTTCGCCTTGCACGTTTGCAGTGTGTTGTTGATGTTTTTTTTATTTTTTTACGTGGAGGGTTTAGAAAAATGACATTCTGTCCGCCCTGGATTATAATCTGGATTACCCTTTACCGTGATGAACAAATTTTTTTATACAATTTTCATACTAAATTTACTTTGGATGAGCGTATCCGAGTCGGGTCCTAGATAATATTCATGGTTAAGATAAACAACTGATCGGGTCCGATTATAAAAACAATAACAATGAGTTCGGTTCCACAGTAAAAATCATAACGTACTAGTTTTCGGTCCGACAGTAAAACCTGTAACTTACAATTATTGTTACACTAGATAATGTTAAAAAATAAATAGATTTGAGTTCGTAAAAGCTCTATCATATAAATTTTTACCAATTGTGTAAATCTTAAAATTTTTTAGAAATTTAATTCATTTATTTACCATATACCAGTATTCTAATTTTTAACTAACAATTATGTACCATTTATTAGAAAATTTAAAAAAAAATTCGTACATGTGTTCTAATCTATAAGTAACTGACAGTTTTCAATCTGCAAAAATGAGAAGCCACATTTTTTTTGTATGGACCCAACTACAGCAATATTTGTAAAATTATGGGAACCAACTAGTGTACTATCTAAAAAACACTGGAACCTAACTTGACCAAATAAGGGTCTTCGCGACCCAACTAGTAAACGCTGGTTTGAATTACCTTATGATTATTTTATTTGCATTTGAATTGTAAATAATTATTGTTTACGGAAAAATTTTGTACAATGATCCGAATGGACCAGCGCCTGGCTACCAAAAAGTTTGTCACGCGTTTCGTTGGCAAAACTTCCCTTAAATACACGCGACTCGAGACAATTTCACCACCACTCACTCTTATACCGTTAGCACAAACGTTGTTTTTAAAGTTAAGTTTAATCTTAATTTAGATAAAATACTTTTTAAAAGTAATCACGCAAAAATCCAAATACTTTTGAAAAAGTATTCCCGATGTATTATGAAATACTTTATAAAAATAGTGTCCCGAATACATTATTTAGAATAGGTGCTCCAAATTTTTTTCAAATTTATTCCCGAGATGTAATCCTACATTGCTGCCGTAGATACGAAATTAGTAAGTAACAATACAGCCCTACTAATGGTGATAAAAATAAAATAAAATTTTATACAAATAAAAAATTATATACATCATTATATATGAATGTAAATGCAATTTATATGACAGAATATTTTTAAAAATTATGTAAAAAATGGATATAACGTTAAAAAAATATTCAAGATACTGTTTTAAGAATTTTTTTTAAAAAAAGATGATTTCAAAATCAATTAGAATAGTACGAAATCTGAGTGTAACGTGATTTCTCGATTTCAATCTTCTTTGATATTAAATTATATAAACATCCAAATATTGCATCATTCTAGTGCTTCCAAACAAAAATAACTTAGTGTTAAGGGAACTATTATATTACCCGACTGCGGAAGAAGGAGAATTTTAATATTCAATTCTTGGAAAACAAAAGCCCAGTGAAACGTTACGAATTGGAATGGTTTGTTTACGATAAAGACTAATTGAAATTCGTTTATACTGTGTGCTTATTTTGTTGAATTACGATGTTTGAATTGATATCCCAATTTAGCGACAGTAAAACGGTAAGCAATGTTTGAACTCTAGAAATCAGCATTGCGCCATATGCGTTAAGAATATTTATGTTGCTTAAAAACTGAAACTATTTGGGACCGATACAAAGGACATATTTTTTTGTAAGTGTGTGTGCGTGTGTGTTTATTAATGTGTATGTTTATGTGTATAACATAATGTGTTATGTGTATAAACATATGGACGAGAACTGCAGAAAGGATGATAGTTGAAGGTCACATGATACGCATGAGCCGATAATCGATTGTATCGGTAACCGAGTCGGAAAAAAACGGACGACATTTGTATTTCGAATAATACGCATACATGTATACATATATGTACAACTTATATACACTACTACTATACTATAAATCTAATTACAAACACTGGACAACCGGACAAAGTGATAGATATCTTAAGGGAAAGAAAAAAAATTAACTGGGTCAAGTCTATTCCAATGTTTTGACAAAAGGTTCAGTGTATAATAGCCATCGTAAGATTTTCAACTGACAAAACCTAATAGAAATCGTTCTACCAAAATAATTACGAGTAATGTAACCAGAGCAATGTTGAATATTATTAGTCCCGAGTTAGTTCATCACTTACGCATGCGCTTCGAAAAATCACATAACCACCGGGTGTCGGTTTATTTCATCTGTATGAACAGTGTCCTATTTCTAATCTAAAACACGCCGAGTGTTCGGTGAACATTTACCATCAACCGAAAATTCAAAATTCGGACGTCAAACCTGCTAGTATCGTCCGTGCTTCGAATGTTCCACATGTCCTGCATATTCACGCCTAAAATTTTACTATTTAGATGACTTAATTGCAAATCATTTTTTTTTTTATGATTAAAATAGAATGTCTATATTTATGTACTATATATACGATTATTTTTAGGGCCATATTTTGAAAACTTTTCACAAATGTTCGTGCTCGCATCGAACCAAACTAGTATTATAATCACAATCATATCTTTAAAGTACATCGACCGTCCTTTCGTATCATAATACATAATACATTGCATTTATGTCGAGTTGGTACTCAGTCATAGTTTTCCAAATTATTCCATACTAAAAATTATCACTGCCAATATCTTTAATATTTTTGATTTTTTCTAATTATTACCGAATAACCCCGCTAATATTTGCTTTTTTTAATAATTAGGACTCGGAAGTTTATGCATTTTTTTATAATTTTCTTGCGATGGACTAAACGATATAAAGATTTTTTTTACAAGGTTTTCAAAGAGAATAATTCATAACTTAATTTTTATTTTTTGTACATTTTTCCTTTTAGGAAATTTTATTCATTTATATCGTTATCATATTATTTTTGTTTAGGTATTATAAAATGTATAATTGATAAGTTTTAAGTTTTTATATGTTATATTCGTGTAAAAACAATGCGGAAATGTATTGTTGTTTTAATCTTTACTTAATCTTAATTTTATATGGATAACTACATTATTCCAGTACCTATAGTAAAATATTCAATAATTTTTTATCTTAAGAATCAGTTGGTTAGTATTTTATCATTCGAGCACTCATTCTACCATTATACCAAATTTAATTCAGTCATAATTTATAAGTTAACTGTAAAGTTATATTAGTATCAGAACTATTATCAATATCAGATATAATCTAGATATTTTTAATTATTGTAAATTTTACTAATACATAATTATGCGAAAATTAATATCTATTACTACTTCCTGTGAAAAAATCACACCACAATATTGGCTCATTCAGATTTATAAAAAATATAAAAATTAAATTTTTCAGATAAAAAATGTAAATATTTCGAAAATTAAAAAATATATATTTGTAGTATAAATTAAATCCCAATAAAACGGGAAAATATGAAAAATCGGATTTCAGAAAGTTGATGGATAATTATGATGTGACATTCGTAGTATTCATCCATCGAATGCATGAATAGAACTGTAGATAACCAGGGATATTGCAGTGATCACTGTACACAAAATCTTGTAAGCATAAAGTTGTTAAAAATTTATCATTTTACTTTTCAACGTATTCGATAATGATTTTATTACATATGATATTATTATATAATGTTATATAATATTATATACGTATATTAATGTAGGTAATAAATAAGCGAACCGAACGGGAACTCAGGATACCTAATATCCTGCCTGAAAGTGTAATAAGCTTAAAATATTTTATCTATAATTATGAATTTAATGGATCGTCGAATATTTTCTGTATTCATTAATTTAACAATAACTGTCAGTATTAAATAATGAATAAGTCCTAATTCTATGGAATAAATATTGTTATTGTTATTAATGTATCGTTTGTTTCTTGTGTGTGTTCGGTGTGTTCGGGAATCATTCGGATTTCAATGGCACCACCGATGTCATTGTATACTTCACTATGCGGTTCGGGTTGATCGAAGTCACGTACAACGACGACCCATCCTTAGATATTGCTATGTCGTGCGGCACCTGGACAGCCTGAAAACAAGTAGCGTGGGTAAGTGTGTTTTCCTCGTCGATACGGCACGAAAAAACATTTATAATATTCAGCTACATGGCGGATATAAGTATAAAGTGAGAATAGTTAGTTATGTTTGGCAACGTTCACAAACAAAAAAAGAGAATTAGCGGAAGTATTGAAGAAGATGATAGTTAATATTTTTAATATTTGTTGTGTTCAGGAAACTAATGGAAAGAAAAAAAATAAAAAAAAATAGAAGAGAGCTATAAAAAAATAAATACATTCAGGTAGGACTAGTACCTACTAGGAATGATGTTGGAGTAGTATTGAATGAGGAGATTAAAAATAAGGTGGTCGGTGTAAGAAGAAAAATTGATAGAATTGACCGATCCCAAGTAGTTGAGAGAAAGGCGAAGGAGAAGAAAAAGAAGAATTTTATCGTTTTCGATATCGGATTTTTCGTTATCGTTAACGTTAATTGTACTTGCAGTGGTAAATTCTTCAAAACTTTGCCTCACCACTCCATTTATACCGAATTCGTATGAACGATATGCTTGTGGCACTACTATCGCATGGATGTTCCAACAACAATCAAATGCAAATAGTAATGGAAATTGACAAGTTGAAAAATGGAAATTTCAGATTTTATAATAATAAACTACATTATGGTATACTATAAAATCAAGTTTAATGTATTTAATCGTATAGTTAAAATCGATTTCATGATCAGATAAACGATGAAATCCGAATACTTGTGCTTGGATAGTTAATGCGTTTGTGTTTTGGCATCAGTATTGACGTGGTAACCATACAAATATGGTAAACTGTAGCTATAGGCGAGGGGCGGAAACAGTGAAAGGGTGCAAAATTATCCTCCAGATGAATTCTTACTGTGGTAAAAAAAAAGCAAATTTATCGACATTTACCATGGTTACTAGCAAAATTGTCCACGTTATTGGACACCAGTGTCGTAAGAAATATTTCCATATTTTCTATTTATAAAGTAACGTGCTGGCATGCAATCTCTCTAATTCGGTCAAGCAATGTAATATTACTTACTGCGTCTTTGGATATTGTCCAGTGATCGACAATGTTCTCGGTCATAGGATTAATTGTGAATCCTCGGACCGGGATCATTGGTGAAGTGGGCCCGTTGACGGCGTAGATCAAATCACCTGCGTACACAACACACGACACAAAACGTTTCAAACTCGAAGTTCGACATCAATTATGCGCAACACTCCTGTTACAGCAGTTCTCTTTACGTCCCGACACCGTCCAAAAATTCTGAAGATCGTAACTTACCTACACATGTGAAGTTAATCTCGCTTCGAAACGCGTAGCAAACGACAGTCATTATGTTGTACCATGCAGGCAAATATTCCGGATCATCCGAGTACTAGGAGCTAATCGCAGATAGTGTACTAGTTGGGTCCCGGATTTTTACTGGTACTACACTAGTTCCTGAATATTTTTTGGTAAGTACTACATTATACTAACATTTTCCTTCCCATTTTAACAGACTTAGGGCTGTCTAAGATCTATTTAGACCACGGGTATGGTTAAATATGTTTTTATAGTTATTTTTATATATTTTCTTTTCCATTAAAATATAAATTATTAGAATTGTGTTGGTAAAAATATTAAAAATATTAAAATTGTATTAATATTATTGTATAATATTTTTATTACTTAATAATACTTTATATTATTATATAAATTATAGAATTCTAAAAAAATGTGGTCCTGTGGTCTGAATAGATCATAGACAGTCCTAAATCTGTTAAAATGGGAAGAAAAATGTTAGTATAATGTAGTACCTATCAAAAAATATTCAGGAACTAGTGTAAATCTAAAATAATTCAAGACCAAACTAGTGTAGTATCTAAAATAATTCGGGACCCAATTCGGATGCAGCCAAATATTCACATGATACGTTATACAACGGTTTTTTACTATATATTTTCTTCCGAATTTCCCACGACGGTTGGACCCCAGGGCTTATTCTAAGGATTTTCAACTACTGCCCTAACACACCGGAAAGTTTATTTTATGAAATATATTTGGACTATAATACTTACCCCTTCCCAAATAAATTGTACATTGATATTTAAGAATTTTGACCATCGCGTGGTAAAATATAAAAAAAAAAATACGGATAATTTCCGTTGTACGTATACGGCTATTTAAATTTTGATTTCATAGATTAATCAATTGCAAAAATAGCAAAATTGGTAAACTTAGATAATCAATACTTATTAGGTACTAGGTCGGGCTTATAAATTGCACAAATCTCGAATACTCAGTGGAAATTCAATCATTCTACGAGGAAAATTACATTTTTGTAAGGCGCCCGTATTCATGTGGTCAACTGGCCTTTGGATTTTTCCTACTACCCGATTTGTGCCGTACTGCCCGTTAGAATAAGACCTGGTGGACCCTTCGCACGCTGTCCAACCCGTAAGCACATCGTATACGGTCCGTTGTGACGTAGTGTTATACGTTTTGCGCGTTAATCGAGATGCGAAACGACAACTGGTTTTTTTTTTTTTCAACCGGACGTTGCGGAGCACGTTGGCACGTCGAGTGTTTAAACACGTGTCGCGCCAGCGGCCGACTGCCGTTCGGCGTGGCAGCTTTGGACCGGCGACGAGAACCGCTGCGCTGCGGAGTCACCAGCTAAGGCGTACGTACCGTGGCTGGTTATCGCGTACACCCGTCCCAGGTCCGGTTGTTGTATGGTCAACGGAGCCTGGTCCCTGCTTCCCTCCGACAGTTCGGCGCCCCTGCACACCACTCGCATGTCTTCGCGGTCGGCGATGCATACGAGGTCGTGTTGTTCGAGCAACGCCAGACTGTGCGGCACTTGAAGGCTCAGGAATTCTGTACAACACGCGGGCGGTTAAGCACGAGAAAAAGCAGACGAAAAACGGCGCGTTGACGACGTTGGTCCGACGATGTGCTGTTCCGCACTAGATTCGCCATCGCCATGGCCTTTACACTACGACCAGTCAAATCTATAGAAGTTTATGAAATACAGCGACGTGCTGTTACGCGGACAGTACTGATTGTACGACGTATTGTTAAGCATACTCGAATAAAAAATACCGACTATGACGTAATCAAATCGATGTTTTATTATGTACGGAGAACTTTTAAAAATCTATTTTTTTTTTTTTTTCACATCGTTGCCTGCGAATGCCTAAAAGCGTATGCATCGAATCGTTTCCGAGGTATAAATACACGCCCATTGTATTATTTCGTTCGTTAGTTAGATCGCGAAACATTAGCCCGCCACCTCAATTGACGCTCGGTTATCCCTCGTTGTCCGTATCGTCAACACGTAATTTTCGCGAGTGGTGTCGTTGATGTATCGTCACATTTTATCGTCGACGTTTGAAATAGTTCGAATGTATCCGATGGTTTTACGGTTGGTATTACGAGGTGTTACTATTATACCCGTGTACTAGTGCTCTGCACGGTCCGTTATTTAAAGGACCAGACCGGACTTCAAATTTTACCAGGGAACCGAAGTCGGACCGGAACACACTTAAACGTTTTTCAAAGACCAAAGTTGGACCGAACCGACGGCTTCATATCATTTTTAGACCGGACCGGACCAGTAATTAAATAACAATTTGATAAAGTAGAACGTGGACCGGACTGTTGGTCCGATCTTATAACATTTTGGATCGTTTTTTCGATTATTTGTTTACATAACAATATCTGTATTTAGATTTTAAGTACCATGATTGGGACCGGACTGATTTTCATTTTTTTTTTTTTTTTTTTGGAACTGGACCGGACTGAAAATAATACATTTGATCTGAGAACTGGACCGAAATACTCTTAAAAATTATTGAACCGGATCAAACCGACGTTCAATAGTTTTTGTATGTTAGGACCGTACCGGACCGGACTGATTAACACCGCGGACCATGAAGAGCACTACCGTCTACTATAATAATTTTCGAACAATAGTTTTCCATCTCTCGGCGGTCGCGCCACGATCTCAAAGTGGGAAATATGAAAAATCCTACATCATAACTAGGGAACGGATTTACATGTAATAAAAATATAGAAATACGTACATATGTATGTAAGTATAATTTATAAAATATATGTTAAATACATCCAAATATGTGGGAAAAAAATTTAATTAAAAAAAAATTATAATTATTAAATAATCAAAATTATTTGTTGCATTGAATTATTACAATATCTTTTAAATTTTCAAATATTAAATGTCACCTATTAGATCTGAAAATATTTTTAAAACGGCTAAATGATCGTTCCACATCAACCTACATCGGTTGATTAAAGGGCATGATATCAGGAGACGATAATTCCAAATTTTTAGAAAGGTGACTGCCACTCATTATGTCATTGATTGATTGAAAATCAATATAGCCTGAAATTTTACTCTGTAACAGCATGAATTTTCTTTTTTACAACATCTATTGGTCCGCTTACGAATTTTCATTTTGCAATCGTTGATTCAACAATTTACATACTTTCATTTAAGGATTTATTTTTGTTTCTAATTTTGTTAATGTATGTGCAATAAGACTAAAATTCACTGAGATGATAATTAAATTAGTTTTTAATGTTTCATTTTGCATAATATTTTGAGCTTTTCTAATAGCGATAGAAGTTACTGGATCTAAATTTGAAATAATTCCTTGTACTTTTGTACGAAGAAGACGTATGAATGATGAAATGATAAAATATGTTTAAAAATGTAAAAATTATAAAAAAAACTATTAAAAATATTTTTAAAATATAATATATTTACAAACTAGTGAAATATGTAAAAATATATAAAATAAAAGTAGGATTATATTAATAGGAATAATTTAAATAATGAACATTTCTTATCGAATCTTAAATATCTCTTTTTAATAAAAATATGTATTTACATATAAATCCGTTCCCTAATCATAACGTTATATGTTTTCAATTGGGGATCTCTTTTAGCCGATTTCATAATGACGAATCGTAGATGAAAACATTCGTACTGTGCGTTGAACTTAATAATACTATACGCTCGAATACTACGTTGTGTATATAAACATAGGTATTACATCTGTTTATCGACTTAAGCCAATCATTTTCTAATATAAAGAGTCCCTAACGAGCTCTATACGATTTATGCATACATATACATACCTCATACACCTACCTATCTACTAGTACCAGTGTACAATATTTTGAAAAGATTTTATTCGGCTCGTTAAAAAATTCATCTCCGATTTGAAAATATTCTTGGTATTCGAAATCAAAACTATATTTTATTTGTGTTTTCCTTTTTTGTTACATGAATTCATACTATATTGTAGTATAGCTGTCGCACAACTTATTGATTTTTATTTCATTTTATTTTGATTGATTGATTGCAGCTGAGATGTTATCGGACAATATTTTATGGGCGTGTATTTTAGAAAACTGCTATGCCAATAAAAATTTCTCCCAGCCCTCCTGATGTGAATTTAATATTTTTCTCTTCTACTCCTTGATAACCTATTGCGACCACAGTCCAATAAACAACCATGGTGGTCCTCGAAACACTTAAATAATTACTACTCGTGCTACTATATGTGTAAAAAAATATAAATATTTCCGCTTGGAATTGATTCAAAAAATCGAATTCGTTTTATCGATCCGTTATTGTTATACAGAATATAAAATGTACCATTGGCATGTGGAAAAACCCGTTGCAGCTCTCCTCTGCTCGAGTATTTCAATACTCTGGAGTTGCAGTACCCATCCGCGATAAATATTTCGCCAGTCGAAGCGATGGCCACGGAAGTAGGTTGACAAAGAGTCCTGTATCCTTTGCCATTCTCGAATCTCTTACCAAAAGTCAATGACGGTCTGAACGCTCCAGGCGAAAACTACATTAAGTTAAATTTAATAATAATTTATAATCATCTAACGTCATCAACGATTGTAGCACATTGTGATGTTGATAATAATATGTATTTGATAGGAATGTAGGAAAAACGTAATATTATTACGAGGTTGATTTTTAACCTTAAACACTTGATGCATGGCCACATCTGTGACCCAAACGTTGCCTTGGTGATCGATTGTGATGCCGTGTGGCATGTAAAAGAAACCTGCTCCCCAGCTGGACAAAACGTCACCGGTTTTCGGGCTTAGGGTGACAATGGTGTTCGTCAAAATGGGACCTTCCTCTATGTGCTGGTAATGGCACGTCTCGTTGAATGAGCTGAACAACAACGAAACAAGAACCGTTATTCGTCAAACGTTCACTAACCAAACTCGATCATTGGTTTTGGAATAGGTGCAACACAACGTTGTACGATGCATATTATTATGTATTATTCTAAAACCAATGGCGAACCGTTCGGAAAAACAAATCTCACTTTTCGTCCCAGACGCGGCTTCCTCGGTGAAATATCACGGGCTGTCCGACTGTGTTTATCGCCACTCCGCTCACTTGTCCAAGGCGAGGTATAGGACTTTTTGGCCATCCTTCTACTTCTACTGGTCGGTTTATGTTCTGCGCCTGCATTGAAACCGAACAACAAACAACGTTTATTGTAATCAAATGTCACGACATAATACTGTAATATATGCCTAGACAATTCGTACATATTTTCACGAGTTAAGTAAATACATACTACATAAATTTTCCATCTAAGAAGGTTATTTTTCCTTCTACTTCAATTACATCCTCTTTGTTTGCATTCGAAAAACAACAAAATGAAATATAATTATATTATTCCCCGAATACCAACGTATTTATAATAATTATATGATAATCATATCATAATATCAACATAAGATCAACATAAAAATTGTTCGGACATAACGTTTCGTTTTGATTTACTCTCATATGAAATTGATTTAATGATTTTATAATGATAATTGTTTGTCTAAATAAATATGAACGTTATCCGAACATTCGATATATTATATTATAATAAACTGAACTTCATAAAAACGAATCAAAACTTATGATGGTCGAATTATACGATAACAAAAAATCATTATAGGTATACTCGCTCGTTTAAAACAAATATAATGCACAGTATTCAACTTTACAGACAAGTCTAACTGGTTTAATCTGAAACTGAATTAATTTCCACTTGCATAAAATGCACCACAATACTTCATTAGTGTATTTTAATACGTATATAGTATGTGTATTATTCGTATTCCTATCTTGTAGTATAAGACTAAATAAAATGTTTAAATATGCAATTTTAAGCGATACCTAAAACGATTCGGAAAACATAGTAACATAAACATACATAATAACTACGCCATACGTCTATTTATCAATATAAAATACGAGAATTAGATAAATATATAAAATACGTGCAAAGATAATTGTAATCTTTTCGAAAAAATACATCACTTCAATAATCCAATGCGATATAGCAACGCGTTTTTCGACACGAGTGTATTATACTCCCGACGATTACTGAACAACATATTTGGTATACTTTTGACGCGCATACCTGTACACGAAAACATAACAAAACAACATACGAATATCGCAAAACTGGACAACTGTCAGGGAATGAATTGCGTGATCGTCGTCCCTTACAATACGCATTACTGAGTTCAAAGGAAACCCGCGGCATGGGTGGTATACGCACGCCCTTGTTATACACATGCGATAAAATACGAGACCTGGCCCAGATGATCAAATGATAACAAACGAAACGGACGAAAAGTGTATTTTTATTTACGGGCGATTTAACAATGTCTACGTACAATCATGATCTCACGTCATTATTAAATCTTTTGTACTCGGCATTTCGTATTTTGTGCTTATTGTTATTATTATTATTATTATTATTATTATTCTCTTTTCGAATACCTATGGAACCTTATACACGGATCAATGTAGTACGCATTTGAAAACAATCTCAGATCCCATTCCGTGCGCAGTAATACGCACACACAACTACACGTTCAGCGTTTATGTATTTGTTTAGGTTCGTAAACGGCAAACAAACGTCAACGAAATACGGGTTTATACCTAACCTTGCGATTGTTGTATTCGATTGTCGGCCGTTTATTTTTTATGCGCACTCCTCGATAAACCCGTACAGCATGCCGGATCTTTCCAACAACGTTCGAGCGCGGCGAACAACATGTCAATTCCTATGAAATATTCTAATTGTAACGTTTAATTACTGTGAAAAGGACAAGAGTCGCGTTCACGTTCACCGCGTGTTCACTATACTGTTAGCACACGCTGCTCAGATGAAGTGATGAGTATGTACGCGGCTCGAAATCAAAACCGACCATATACTCATGCACAGTATTGGGCAACACTGAAGTGTGTTTCTTTGCGTTGAAAAACTAGAACTTCGTTAAAAATCAAAAAATAAGAATCCCTCTCCCCATATGACTCTCGTGCAAATTGTTACATTTCGATACTCTACACGAATAAATCAGAAAAATAAAAGCGCCCGGTACATTATGTTAAAGCAAGTTCGACGTTTGAATAATATCAGTTTATTGTGAAATTAAACGCGCAGTGTTCCGAATAATTTATTTGTCACAAAACGTAATCCTGACAATGTATTAATTGTTAAACTACACTCAATCGGTTATGCTTTGTGATGGTGATAAATCGGAAGAGTCGCGCGCACATCAAAAGGCTACAGCTCGTTTGTGCATATTTACCGTTTTTACACCTCGATTGCCCACAAACATTTTAAATACCTGTGATGAAAAATCACCAAAAAAGTCAACTCGTATACGCGCATAGACATTCGTTATAAACTTGGTATCTGGTACTAGTGAAACATAAGATATTAATTTGTTTGGTTACATGTCCAAATCACTTTCTGGACTACGTTTATTGGCACTGCTGATGATTTCTCTTATCATCACTTGTTTATTTGTTTTATTTGGTTATTGTTTGTTGTACACTATTATTTGAGCATAGATTCGAAAACAATGTAATACCATCACATTCGAAAAACTATCCAAGGAAAATTTCGGAATAATATAATTTATACGTTGAACACATACCGAATAAGATATTATATGAGGCGCATTTTCAATGCTAACGGTTTTAATAAAACATTCTGCATTAATAATGTAATCGTCGAACTTACGATAACAATAATTTTTGTAATATTTCAGACTTTAATAAGTGCTTATAAAAAGAAAAAAGAATCCAAACGAAGTCTATTGATTTTATAACGCTAGAAAAAATAGGTATAGTCAAGCCATAAATTATGGCACATATATAATTAACATAACATTAATACAAAAAGATAATAAATTACTTATCTAATTTATGAAAATAAATATTTATAAATGCTCTGAAAGTGTTTAACTTTATATCTAAGTGTATTCGTTTGATATCGGGAAAAAAAACAAAAAACGAAAAACTCATATGCTTATAAGCACAAGTCTAAATTCCAATCTAAGGATTGATGTAAAAAAATGAGAATACGTCATTGCATAACCGACACATTTTATAACTCCATTTAGAATTTAAAATAAAAAAAATCGACACAGTAAAATATTATGCATACACCCATCAATGTTTCACATATGTCACATTACGAATTATTTTGCAAACCGTTGTTATTTCTAGTTCGATTTTTTAACCAAAACGAGTTGAAATAAAGGAAACAACCACAACGTAATAGTATTATATAAAATTTTTTGCCACCGAACTTTCGGTCGAAATATAATTTAACGTTTTACACTTTAAAAACTTCGTATTTTCAATAACTACGAGACCCGACGTCTTTCGATTATTTCATGAACACATCCACATATGACATCAATTATAAGCATATATTTATTTTTTATGCGCCGAACCATGCATAATAACAATTTCTACAAGTATAATATGAAGTGGGTTTTTTTTTTCTCTCACGACCGCGTACCCTAGTTATTCGCTTCACTCCACTCACTTGCACTCGCAAACCGTCCACTTAACCCAGTTATAGGACGAGGAAGTACGGATGGCCCCGGATAACAAACATACGGATGCAATACAGCGTAATATAGTATAATTCAAGAGTAAATTCCAGAAAATGGTATTCGCTACTCGGCCGAATCGAAACCCATAACGAAAAACACCGTACCTCATCATTTCCAATCGCTCGAAACGATCAAAATCGATATTCGAACGCTTTCGATCGATAATCTTACCTCGTGTTTCGATGAAATTCAATTATTTATTCTTAAACACTTGTTAAATGTCGATCTTCACTAATTGATTGACAATGTCTCACGCGGTCGTTTGCAATCAAATAAACTAATAACACCTGCAGTGCTCGCATATGTTATACCATAAGATGATAATACATCTGTTTCGAAAAACGTCTTACTCGTGGTGCGCTATAACTACCAAAAACAAAGTGTCATGAATGTTTCACGGAACACAATCCGTGTGCACCACAGACGGTTTCTTAACGAACAACGTTATGTGACGGGGATACGCGTCGAAACAATTTTTTTTTTCAAAACCCCGTAAATCTAAGTGTGCCCATAGTTCCCGAGATAGTAAATAATCACCCCGCATTCAAACCCTTGCTTCCAGTTCCGCCCTAACGTGAACGCGAACGACGGTGGTCACGAACAACGATTTGGGTACCCCGCGGCGGCGGCGACGACGACGAAGTCGGTGCAGTGGCGTCGCGTCTCCTGCCGCCCAGGACTACTCGACGACCAACTAGTGCACGGTGTACATTTCCGTCACTTGTGGCCGACCTGACCTGCGTGAGTGCTATAGTACTTGCCTGTGACGACGGTAAAGACAGTGGTGGCAGCAGGGGCGAGTCGGTGGCGGTGGCGAAGGAGTCGACGGCCGGGGAAGCGGTGGTAGCGGCGGCGTCGTCGCCGTACACGACCCGCTTGATCTCGTCGTAGAAACTGCTGTCGACCGGCCAACCGGTGGCCAGCGGGCACGCCAGCAAAGCGGCCGCGCAGACGGTGACCAGCGACAAGTACATCGGTCGACCCATAGCGCAGTGACTGGCGTGCGAGACAGACGCGCGTTGGACGTCGACGCGAATGCTCTCTGCTGTGGCGCGCGTGTTTGTAGGTGTGCGCGCACGCGTGACCGATCATGTGTGTGTGTGTGTGTGTATGTTAAATGTTTTTCTTGTACGAGTGCGTGTGTTTAAATATATATGTGTGTGTTCTTGAGTATTTACGTGTGTATGTGTTTGTGGATTTTCTGAGTATTTACGCGTGTGTGTTTTATGAGTATTTGCGCAAACGCACGTGTGTGTGTGTGTGTGTGTGTGTGTGTGTGTTCGTGTTTACGTGTGCTCACGTATTCGTTGTCCCCGTGTACGCCGACGGTTCACGACTTTGGCCTTGGTGTCTCCTCCGCGGTGGAGATCAATACCAATGTCGCGGCGATTTGATCGCCAGAGAGCGCAGCGTTATTGCCGAAACACTCCCCTCGTGCCGCCGAATCATCCCTTAGCGCTCACAAAGAATATCACAGTAGGGTACCCATCAACCATCCCTCAAACCGTAAAACATGCGGTAAAATTGAAAAAGAAAAAAAAATTGTAATCGCTTTTGGCGCCATTCAATGCATTCCACTTGACACGTTTACTTGTTTTACGTTCGATTTAGTTTTTCACTTCACCATAAACGTTCGGTTTAAAAGTCGAATGAAATAGAAAAAACATCGATTGTTAATTGTAAACTTGAGATTTTTAGTAAACAATTGAATGATTAATCGTAATAATACTTGATGAAAGGGGAGGGGGGACAACTGAAACCCCGTCGCTGGTACTTGATGAACCACCAGTAGTCCCGTGAGATGCGGACGTTCAACCTGTAGCTCCGAAGCATAACCACCGTAACGCGAATCAGGTGCTGTGCGTCTAGAAGGCTAATGCAATTAAACAAGGAGGAAGAACTGACTGTCCCCGGACAAGGGTTGTTCCTGGGCCACTGATATCAGGAGAATATTGCTATTGTCTAGGTTAGAAACTGATGAAAACAAAGTCCCCAAAGTTATAACGGGTGACCATCTACGGAATGTACCGATTACACGTCAACGCCAGTCCGTCAATTACTGCCAATAAGCGTTGACTTAATTTCTGTTGTATTATATTGTTACTCTCTTGGAAATTAGTACACTAAATTTATTTTCGTATACATTGTGGATTATTTAAAAAATATCCATATAGGTATATATACATATATATATTAGATATTATAACTATAGTAGCATAAATATAATGCAACACAATAAAATGTAGATTACGTCATAAAATTACAAATTACTAACAATAATCCAGTTATTTAACATCGAATAAATAATTTATTTACACAAAAATTCATTAAACACATTATTTCCATCTTTCACACTTGATTTTTCCGTCTTATTTTCCTTGATTACATTTAATAAACGTTGTCATTTTCATTATGTAATTATTAGATATTGACTACATTTCATTTTCCTCCCCTTGGTTTGATTATACAGGTTTTTTATAATCCTTCACAAACATCATCGATTGACTCTTCTAAAATAAAAAATTAATTTTTAAATTAATTAAATTTAAAAGTTCGATTTTCAATACAATATACTATACTATACTATATATAAAACATCTTACTTTTTGAAATATCGACTGATGCAATCGACTTTCTTCTTATTACCTTTTTATTTGCTATATCTTCGGCTGCATTCTTTTTAGCACGGGCTTTTTTCAAAAAGTCGTCTACTATAGCCGTACAAATTTTAAACATTTCTCTTTCATAATTCTCCGATGTCAAAACTAGTTTTTTGCATTGCTTTGACTTTAATTTATTTTCGAGAGCAGTAATCGGCTCTTCTAAATTAAAAAAAAAATTATACTTGTAATTTTATTTAGTTAAATACATGATTTTTATTGTACTTGGTCTATTTAAATTTACTTTTGTTTTTAACGACAATAGCGATTGACTCCCTCGCCGTCTTCTCTGAATTTTTTAACGACATAACAGTCGTACTACTAGCCAAAACTGTTGTACCAACCGATTTTCTCAGAAGGTCTGAGTGCACTTTTACTGGATTAGTTCGTGTTATCAGATTGCTGATCTGATTATTGGTCTTCTTCGATACGTTAGCAATATCAAATAATGCCGTATATTTTGTACGCTTTTTTCCCGATTTCTGTTGCATCATCTTTGAACCCTTAGACTTTTCATTTATTTTAGTCTTTTCCAAGGATGATGAAGTTGTAGCGGTAGCCTTTATAGAATCTTGTTTAGGCATTTTCTTCCGTAAGTTATTTTTTTATGAAGTTGTCGATTCTTCTGAAATTCACAAAATATCTGTACATTTCACTAAAACGTTTTATGATTTATTTGGTCCATGTTAAAAACTTACGTATTCTTGTTCAATAAGTTTTCGTATAATCTTACAAAGTCTTTATTGTACGTCAACGTCTCTTGGTTTTTCTTTGTAACAAGCTTTTCAAAGCGGGTTTGAAATAAGATACTAAATCTTGTATTATGCTTGCGAACACTTTTTTTTACGAGTGAATAGCAAATATTGTTTAGTCAACCAGGTAACAACATTATTTAATAAAATCTATAAATACGTAGTTATAGATACACCAAGTGTTTTAAATATTTATTTTTTAATAAAGGAAATTATTATATATAATTTTATTCATATTGATAAATATTATATAATATTGGATAACATGTTATATTATGAAATATTAAACATTTTAACGGATTGTTGAGATTTGATACACTAAGAATTTGTACTTATTAGTGAAATTTTTAACCCACCATCAATATAATAATATTTTCTTGAATATCGTTATTTAAACAACATTGATAATATAATTTTTTTCGATTTATTCGCTATATTCAGCCATTGTATTGTAATTCCAATATAAATATATAATACATATAATAAAATAATATAAATATTATATACAGGATCATACATAATATATCATAATTGTATACAACACAATTTTAACAAAGAATCATACATTTATAGATTCTATTGCAAATTGATATCAAATAATTGTGATGAAGTTAAACTTTTAGAACTTATAACATGTTGAAACAAAAATTCATAAAACACATTTATTACCTTGGTCATCTCCAAAAACGATACGAAAACTGTAAGTAAATTAAAAAACCGAAAATAAAAACAGTCCGATAATATCGAACAAGTGTCTAATTATTAGACTATAATATATAAAAAATAAACAAATACATATGGTTCCATATTTTTTCTACGATTTGGTTATAATATGGCACGTGGTCAAATTATGTTGCCGGTGCACACGATTTTCAGGTGTATTGATTGTTGTTTTTATTCTATTTGCGAGTTACATTCAATAGATTATTTAATTTGTCCATCGATTTATATATATTAATACTTATAATATTATGCGGGACAAGTGGATGAGTGAAATTATTTAAACGGTACTGGCCACTATGGACGAGTGCTGAACGGTCGTGTTTTACACACGAATAACTTGAAAACCAATTTAATAGACGCGATTATCCCTTCGCTCGAATAATTACTTAACGTTTAATCTAAGCCATTGAGGGACTTATTCCTAAATTTTTTTGACAGCATCATTTTTTTATAAAATCGATTATCGAATCATGGTCGTTGAGTTGACTACTTGCTCTCCTTAATCACATCAATCATCGTTATTGATTTATTTATTTATTATTAAATACTATATAATATTAATAATTAATATTTAATATATATGTACACCTCTGAAAAGTATTGTTAAAGATCATTGATCGTTATAATAAAAAAGCTTTCGGATGGTTTGTAAAAAAAAAAAGTATTAAATACGAGACGTTTCCAATTACATTGTATAGGTAATAATACATAATCAGTGGTGTATTTTCAATTTTTTCTGGGGGGGGTCCACAGTTTATACATTATTAATATAAACTATATATTATATTGTAATAGTTACGTTCTTATGAAGTTTTTGGAGAATGTTGAACTAAATATATAATGCAATAATCGTATAGTCTTATGTAATATTATATATATATACACCTATATATTGTATTTAGCACTATATATTATAAAGTATTGTTATAAAATAAATTCCAGTCGTCTAGATTTCTTGGCCAACTCCTCTATCCAAGCGCGCCCGCAGGTTAAAATCCCACTCGGGGTAAGATTAAAATTCTAAGGACCAAAGAAACGTGTATATAAAAATAGATGAGAACAAAATGAAATACCATAAACATCGGTACTTGGGAGAACTTATAGTTTTAAGCGATATGCAATCATGTGTAAACATTGTATACTAATAAATACGTTCAAGATTATATATTTTAGATTATCTAAAAATATAATAAATTTTACTAAAATTCATAAATGGATCTTAATAAAATTATGTTATAATTAATATGCGTGGTATTAAATTAACAATAGTTTTAAAACAAAAATTCCCAGTAAGGGCAATGACACCTTTTGCCGCCCCTGCGGGCGCGCATGCCTCTATCACTTCATCAACAGTAATTTCAATTTCCCTGTGAATGTTTTACATAGCCAATACTGCAATTATGTAAACATTTTAGTTTATTTTTATTTTTTGACCAGGTTCTAACTTGGACCCACCCTAGAAATACCCTAAATTATTCCCCGAAAGACATCAGGAAAAAAATACAAAAAAGGAACTGTCTTGTTTAAAACTAGACAAATTGTTACTTTACTAATGGTTATTCTATATTTTTTTCCAAGGTATCTCTACAAAATTTTATCGAAATCGATTGAGTTTTGTAGTCCAACGAGCACAAATCGTCAAACACATCATTTTTTTTTAAATAACATATACATATATATCAAAAATAGTTACAAAAAACTGTAAACCTGTTTCGTGTGTGCAAAAAAGATTTTATATCAGATCAAATTATGAATCTAAATCTTTCTTGTAACACACTTTCAAACACCTTTCTTCGAACACAAAATATTTCATAAAAATTGATCCAGCCGTTTAGTAGAAATTTGAATACTTACAAAACTATATACTATTCAAAATAAATAGATATATATGTTATCAATTAATAAATTAAAAATTTTAAAATATTATACTTAT